ATTGCTTTTACCTGACATAAAATTATCTGAAGTTCAACCTGTTCAAATGAGAACAATATGCTTGGTTTACAAATCAAAGAGAGTAAAAAAAAATTTTTTTTGTTAAGGCTATTTTGTGAGGGGGGAAGAATAACTTGTTTCAACAGCATGCTTGTCCATATAAAATTATTAATAAGCACTATGGTGAATTGTTCAAGGCAAATATTCAATTACTGGTTATTTTAGATTGATTCCAGAATAATAATTACAAATAGTTTAGAAACAATCTCCTTAACACTTTGCAATTTTAGAAAACTAAATCCTTTGACAGAGAATAAAAGAGTATGTAGTTTTACTGTGACTTATAATGTGGATAGTATAATCTTGATGACTGTCATTAATGCATCTTACATATATTTAAATATAATTACTTCAATAAAATGTCATCAACTAGAATATACTAACCAATCATGTCTGGGTTATTTACTTTTTCTGTTTTTAAAATTCAGAGAACTTAATAGTGTTTTATTTCCTTATTTACAATTTGACCAAAAATAAAAATGAATGTTCAGTTTTAAAAAACAAGCATTTTTATAAGTATGTACAATGATTAAGTATATAAGAACTAAAAATTTAGCACCCATATAGATGTTTCAATGTTAGATTTTAGAGGATAAGATTATATACCAGTAAACATGTACTCCTTTTTTTTCCAAAAAGTATAAATCCTCCAGAGATACTTTCTTTTCTGAAGTCAATGATCTGATTATTTTTTGAAAGCTTCTAAAATGTTTCCCGGAAAACAAACCATGTATTCTAACATTTGTTTACTCTTTAGCAAAGATTATTGAGATACTATATATTATTTTTACAGATAATAAAATAATAGATACCTTTTAAGTCTCGCTAACATGATAAAGTAACAAATGCACTAAAGTTAACTCAGTAAATACATTTTTAAGTAAAGATCAGCAAAAAATAAAACAGTTTAAGAATTTTGTATTCTCTGGAAACATAAACAGGATTATAACTGTCATGTTACAGAAGCACTGACTTCAGCCATTAGTTTGGTTTTGCTCCTGAGAAACACAACATGAACTACTGCATCATTTCTTTTCAAATCCATACATTCCCTGCAGCCGTTCAAGCTTCATCAGCAGTCCAGGAATGTATAAAAATGACAGGCAAAGGGCATTAGGTATTTTTACTTCCATACCATTTTCCTATAAATGGAAGACAGGATTCTTTCTCACAGCACTTAAGCTCAAGCTCAGTCAATGCTGAAGGAAAATATAACTGAATTCTCTATGCAAGAAAGTATCACAATTGGATTATGTACTACTTTTCAAGAAAATGTTGATAAATCTAATACTGTATTATTATCTTAGAATAAAACATTGTAAGGTTAGCAGTCAACTTAATTACCCATTATTCTTCAATTAGAAATATTTTCACTTTTTAAAGTATTCTGTCAACTCATCACCTTATTTTAGCACTAAAGTATTCAGTTTTGGTTCTAATTTTAATTATAAAAATTTCCTTAAAATATGCCAACTTTTTCTTGAAAATGTATTTGTATAAATAATTTTTTATTTCCAAGTTTCTGTACTCATAAAGGTTTCAGTGAAATAGGAAATTCCATTAATAATTAAAAGTTTATTTAACCACCATTAGTAAAAATAGGATGTAATGAGTAATCTGGTTATTTTACTGGACCTTAAACATTCACATTGCTATAAAACTAGTACATTAACAACTCGACTCAATTTTTTGACGAAACTGGGAAATTTTCAGACTGAAGTTTTAAACATCCACATATTTTAGTTTATAGTAACTAAAAACATGCCCACTTCAGTACTATCACCTACATTCTTCATGTTCCTAATGTAATGATGCAAGAGGTAAAGCCTAGGGAAGTCTGAAGGTTATGGACTACCCGAAATCCAAACCAAAAACTTCAAATCACACTCTGAATGTACTCCTTCCCTTTTTAGGAATGTGCTGCAGCCAGCCCAGCACCACAGCTCTGGGCAGAAGCATGCTGATGTTGGCAATGCCTAAGCCAAACAAACAAGATGTTTAACAGTCAAATAAAATGTCCTGCAGCCTCCCTAATGAATTTGTCAAGGACCATCAGATTTCGCACCCCCTCCTTTGCCTCATTAACTCAAGTATGATGAGACGGATTATAACAAGAGAATACAGATGAATCGGTCTGAAGACCTGAAGTGGCTTTTAGCCTCTAGAGTTTCTTTCTCTCACTTGGTCTCCTTTAATAGAATATAGTATCTCCTGCAGAAGGAGCTGCCAGTTCGTTTTAATACACCATCAAGGAGCTGCTGATGGACTTCTATACTAACATACATAAAAGCAGAGGTGACAGGGGCTCTCTCAATTACAGCCTCTTCGGATACCGTTTCCCCCTTCAATTATTCAACCAGAGGAAGAGAGGACCGCAAAGGCGCAGCTGAAGCTGCTCTTAGAGCAGAGGCAGACAGAGTGAGTTGGGGTGGGGGAGGGGGGAGAAAGAGAGCCAGCAAGAGGGAGCATTATTTGCTGGAAGTGTTTAAGTTTATTGCTCGAATGATGTTTCTAATTAGTACCACGGCCATAAATTAAAGTCGCCTTTGTTTAACTGATTTATTATTTACTAGAGCATCTACCTAAGACAGGGTAAATTGGTAATGAATTGTTTTTAAATCAAAACATTTGTAACGTTTTATCATCCTTCGGCCTCTGTATGCAAAAGTGGAGAAGCGTGGGGGCAAGGATGAGAGAAAACTTAGCCGAGCTTGACAGAGCCGCGAGTGGAGGTGCAGCGGGGTGTCCGGCGAGTGGTGGAGCGAAGGTCCGCGCGGCCTGGGCCGCCCCACCCGAGAGGAGAGGAGAGGGCGCGGGACATGCGGCGCGGCGGCGGAACCCTGCGGACCAACTCCGCCACCCCTGAGGCTGTTTGCAAACACTCACTCGGGCCGGGCCATTCGCGAACCAGACGCAACGACGAAGCGACCACCTCGAGAGTGGGGCGGGAAAGCTCCGCACCCTCTATCCCCGCCACCAGTCTCCGCCCAGTAACTGCCCTCGGAGAAGCAGCCACGGAGCCCCTCCCGGCCAGTCGCGCTCTCCCGGCAGCGCAGTGCCCTCCGGCCCAGGCAGTTCCCTGAGCGCCGGCGTGGCCTCCCGGGTTAGAGCAGGGCTTCCACACGCGCGAACCCCGAGGACGCGAGTTCCCCTCCATCCTTAGGCTGCGAGGCGTTCCTGGACGCACGCGGCCTCCCGGGAGAAGGCTGGAGGTCAAGCCGCCCAAGTCTCTGCCACTCCAGAGAAGTTAACTAAAGCTCTGGAGTCGCGCGGACGCTTACTTCTGACTGTTCTTCCTAATCCCTGGAAGACAAACCCTAAGCAACAAATCCGAGATATATTTTTTAAGCAAATATTCTTTAGAAGGGGACTTATGGCAACGAGAAAGGAAGGGTGACAAACTGCCTGTGGTCCGCACCAGGTATGTAAGAAAGAACCAAGAGACCCAATTGTCTGATACCAAGTAGATGGAAAGCAATTAACTACCCTATGCAACTCAATTCAGGTTCACCGGGCCGGACTTTAAGAGGGTAAGTCAAGCCTTCCCAAGGGGTTTTGAAAAAGCCGAACTACCAGGTTTCTAAAACGAAGTCTTCACCCAAATGGACTCATAGATTTTTATTTTTATCGCATAACCCAGGGCTGGAATATAACCTCCGAAATCAAACTAAAAATAATCACATCTACCTGACATACGTTAAAAAGATTCAGAATCCAGACATTTTAGGTTCATACATAAACCCTCAATATTAAGCAAATCAGAAACAATGTTCTAGCTTTGTTTTTTTCATCCAAAAGTATCGAAAGGGTACAGTGGGTACAACTTGTTTAGGATAATACATGTACTAAAAAGCACATGCATGTCTTTCACTGAAATGCCTAGGGAGGAGTCAAGCCATCTGTGTAATCAATAACAGGATAGTTATAGATTTTTGTGGCAGTGAAGTCTTTTAAAAGCAAGAGTCAATTATGAAAATAAAATCATTTTACAAATGAAACTGTACCTGTACCCCCTAAGAATACATTCACAGTTAGATTTACAACAGTAAAATTTTAAGATAACTTTAGGTTTATATGTACTTCCCTTGTTTTTCATTAAGTTTGAAACAATTTTAGTAGCTTATTTTAAAAGTATATCCTACTAAGTTCTACGACACATAAATTTGCACCATTTTTCACAACTCAGATATTTTCTCTCTCGTAACTAGTTAATTCTTGCAACGATAAAATAATGGTATTAAATATATGTGAATCTTAATTATGAAATAATTATCAAACAAGGTGCTTGGACTAGTTTTTGCCCTGCCCTGTTTTTCAACAGCATATCGAAATTACTAAAAAGAGATTTATGGTTATAAACCCTCACCTTATATCCACTCCAACCCCCACTGGTGCATATATACAGCGATTGCTCTGATTCTTGGCAACAATGGGAAGGGAGGGGAAGAGAAAGGAGTTAAGACTTTAAAGGAGGAAAAAACCTGGAAAAATTAGGTCCTTTCCCAGATTCCCCTTTCTCCTCCCATTTGCCTTCAAGCCAAAGTAATTTTGTTACAGTTTGCACCTTCTCCTACACAAGGTTGATAGATTCATTTAAAAAAAAAAAAAAAAAAAAAGTGAGCCTTTCTGAACCACTGCTACTCTCCCTCGCGTTATTCCAGTCATCTCCAGGAGAGTCCCTTCTATACAAACTCTTTTTCTTCTTTGCTACTGATAAGAGAGGAGGATAAAGAGGAAGGGCTGCAAAATGTGTGCATGTATTTGACTTCCATTATCTCCTCCTATTTTCTTACTTCTCTCTTTAACCCTCTTTCTTTATCAAGTGCAGTGGTGGCTGCTACCGTTCGCCAAGCCTGCCTGTCTTCTCTCTCGGATTGGCTAAAGCACTGACAGCTCGGATAGCGATTGTAGGAACTGAAGCTCCACCCCCTCATGATGGCCCTGGGACCATTCATAAACTAAATAACTCCAGGAAACAGCGAGGGAGAGAGAGAAAGAGAGAGGGAGAGAGAGAGAAAGGAGAGAAGAGAGAGCGAGCACGAGGAAGGGGGGAGGGGGAGACAAGCAGGGGGAGTGCGGGGCGAGAAAGAGGTCGGAGGGGAAAGGAGGGGGAGAGACGACTCAAAGTGGAATCTGTACAAGCAACCTAGAGGAGGAGAAGGAAAACCCTGAATCGTTATAACTACACCCCAGATGCAACGCAAGCAACGACTTCGTCACACTAAAACGGATTTTGTGAGGGCCAAAAGTATAAATTACGAAGCAGAAATGATTATCAAACAACTTCCAGCGGTTTGCACCTAAAGAAATACAAGAAGAACCCACTACAAACCAACCAACCCAGTCCAAACAACGCCTCCAGTAGGAAAAGAGGAAAACTGCGACAACACGACCCCCTGAGAAGAGAGGAGACCAACACGCTGAGACTGCGGGGCATCAGCAAACCTCCAAGTGCACGGCGGACTGAGTTGTACTTCGCAGCTCTCTGAACATTAATTACCTCCTGCACCTTCCATTTGGGGGAGGGTGAGGAAGAAGGCACTCACCTACACTGAGCAAAGAAGTCCTACCAGCGTGGAAGAGAAGTTTAAGAATGAACCACTGAATGTTTCGCTTTTTTTAAATTTACTTTGGCACTTAAAAAACTTCATTTCCAGATTTCTGGGCAATCTCGGCTGCAGACATCTAAGCCTAACTTTTTGGTATCCTGAGTTTTTTTTCTCTCTCCTTCTCCTTCCTCACCCCCACCCCGCTTCTCTCGCACACCGTCTTTACATACCAAGAGAAAGCAAAAAGGTCCCAGGAGGTACTTTTCTTTTTAGAAAATCATCTTTTCTCCCCTAATTTTTCTGCAGAAGAAAAAAGGTTTCGAAAGAGGGAAAAGGAAAAAACAAGCCGGCTACAGTATCAGCCGGTCAGCCCAGGTGGAAAACAAGAGTGAAAGTGGGGCTTAACGGGGAACGCACCGCCTCTTTCGAAAGCCGCTGGGCCACCACCAGTGCGTGAGCCTTGGATCCCTCAACGTACTGCGAGACGCCGGTGTATAGCCCGGACCTGTGCCCCAACATGATTGCCGCTCAGGCCAAGCTGGTTTACCAGCTCAATAAATACTACACTGAGCGCTGCCAGGCGCGCAAGGCGGCCATCGCCAAAACCATTCGAGAGGTCTGTAAGGTGGTCTCGGACGTGCTCAAGGAAGTGGAGGTGCAGGAGCCTCGCTTCATCAGCTCCTTGAGCGAAATCGATGCCCGCTACGAGGGGCTTGAGGTCATTTCGCCCACCGAATTTGAGGTGGTGCTCTACCTAAACCAGATGGGCGTCTTCAACTTCGTGGACGACGGCTCGCTGCCGGGCTGCGCGGTGCTCAAACTGAGCGATGGGCGGAAGCGCAGCATGTCTCTCTGGGTCGAGTTCATCACAGCGTCGGGCTATCTCTCAGCGCGTAAGATCCGCTCGCGTTTCCAGACGCTGGTGGCCCAGGCGGTGGACAAGTGCAGCTATCGGGATGTGGTCAAGATGATCGCGGACACCAGCGAGGTCAAGTTGCGCATCAGAGAGCGCTATGTGGTGCAAATCACTCCGGCGTTCAAGTGCACCGGGATCTGGCCTCGAAGCGCGGCACAGTGGCCTATGCCCCACATCCCCTGGCCCGGCCCCAATAGGGTGGCCGAGGTCAAGGCCGAAGGGTTCAACTTGCTCTCGAAGGAGTGCTACTCGCTGACCGGCAAGCAGAGCTCGGCAGAGAGCGACGCCTGGGTGCTACAGTTCGGGGAGGCGGAGAACCGCCTGCTGATGGGAGGCTGCCGAAACAAGTGCCTCTCAGTGCTGAAGACTCTGCGGGACCGCCACCTGGAGCTACCAGGCCAGCCGCTCAATAACTACCACATGAAGACGCTGCTGCTGTACGAGTGCGAGAAACACCCGCGAGAAACGGACTGGGACGAGTCGTGCCTGGGCGACCGGCTCAACGGCATCCTGCTGCAGCTCATCTCCTGCCTGCAGTGCCGCCGCTGCCCTCACTACTTTCTGCCCAACCTCGACCTCTTTCAGGGCAAGCCCCATTCGGCCCTGGAGAGCGCTGCCAAGCAGACCTGGAGGTTGGCCAGGGAAATTCTCACCAATCCCAAAAGCCTGGACAAACTATAGGGTGCTGGGGACTGCTTGAAAAGCGACACAAACGGGCGTGCTCTCTCAGACACACAACACACAACTCAGCGATAAACAGCAGAAACTCTGGACACAAACTTTTATGTAAGTCACCTGAAATAGGAATCAGGCAGAAGACCTTCGTTAATCAAGAAGCAAACAAAAAGAGAGCAACCCAACGAAAACAAATCACATTCTTGCACAAAAGTGATCGTTTTCTTCCAAACAATGTGAATTTAAAAGGTCACACAAAAGAAGCAATCGGGCTGTGCCACCACAAAATGAAACCCAAGGTACATTTTCAAATCAATGTATAGTAGTTTCCCCCTTTTCCTTCTTTCCCCCTATCCTTTTTCTCTTCACCCCATCCCCCCTCTCATTTCGTTTTGCTTTTGGTTGCCTGAATGTTGTCACCAAGTGAAAAAATTATTTAACTATATGTAAAATTTCTCTTTTAAAAAAAGTTTTACTGATGTTAAACGTATCTCAGTGCCAATGTCAGACTGTGCCCCTCCCTCTCCTGCACCTCTACCCTCACCCTGAGCTGTCTTGTTGAAAACAGTAATAAAAACATTACTTTACATTGTAATTGACTGTGGATTGTTCTTAAATGAAGGCAGGTGAGATAACAGTTTATAATTTGCAATGTAAAGATGTGACTTGAGGAATCAAATGCAAGAAGCTTCCATTTGAACTGATTTGCAAAATTTAAAATACAGTACATTTTGTAGAACTGACTCTAAGTTCGCACCCAAATCCTTAGAAAATAGAAAACATTAACTTTACTCAACTATAACATATATTTGTTCTGTAGAGTTAGAATTAAAGGTAACATCTACTTCACGCTTGGGGAAAAAAGTATAAAATAAAAGAGTTGATCCTATTAAAGCAGAAAAAACTTTTTCACATTAAAAATTAAGAGATGTACTTTCTTGTGCCATAATTTCAAAAAATCCAGTCTGACTCTGATATACAAAGGAAATATGTATGGATTTTTCTGAATAGTTAACAAAGTCAGTTGATACTTTTCCTTCAACCATTTGTCCTCTTCAAGCTTTGAGTAATAAAAATTTAACAATTAAATAAACCACAACAAAAAAGAATAAAATGGTTATAGCAATAATCCTCTCCCCCAGCATATGGTGATATGAACCATTCAAATTTATAAATTCCATTTTAAAATGGTTTAGTTATAAATTCCATAATTATGATTATTTTAATCAAATTTCAAGAATTATTCTGAAACTGCTTATATGCAATTCAAACAAAAAAGGTTTTCATACCATTTTTATAACCAAAGAAAAATTATTATTCCAGGAATTTACAAATAGGAAAAGTACCTTCCTCCTCTCTCTATTTTTCTAAGGTAACAAACCAATATACTCATTTCAATGTTTCAGCTTTAACAAAGGTTTCTTTTTAATGCAAGGGAATAACTGATTAGAAAATAAAATAATTAGTGAAACAGAAAGCATCCCAAAGGAATTAGTTTGTCGTATGTTGAAAGTAACTATATACTCCATTCACTATGCTAATGATGAGACAAGGTACAGAATATATGTCAGATGTTACCCTTTAATATCGAACATTTATTCTCTGTATTAGCCCAGTTTTTAATTTATTGAGAAAATGCACAAATGAGACGTGTAAAGAAAAATGTTTTTAAAGCAAATTTTAAAGATCAGAGGAAGAAGTTTGAGAGGGGGAAGGGCTGTATGGAGGGATGAGCAGCAGCATAGCAGAATAGATGAAAAACAAGAAAGCCATTCAGGGGTCTGAAGCCTAGTTCATTTGACAAACAGGTTTAAGTTGTAAGATTCCTTGGTAAAAACAGTCCTATGTTAAAACATAAACTTTGATCCTATCAGTTCTGAAATCATCTCCACTCTTTCAACTCAACCTGTATTGTATCTTCTTGTATTCCTCACAGTAATACTAAATGGCTCAAACACACAAATTCCTTTAAATTATAAAGACCAATTTATTCTCTGGGGAAAATGTTCTGAATTTTAAAAACATTTTCAAACAAACAGTAGGTGCTTATATTTGCACAAAATGATTTAAAGGAATAGTGTTTAGTTTCAAAGATAAAAATATCTATAAGTGACCATTTTTTTCACTCACAAAAGTATTTACAGCAGTAGACATACATCTCCCTCCAACTATTCCAGAAAAAAAGGTTTTTAAGTCTTGACAAGAAACAAAAATATCCCCAATTTAGCATATTTTATTCTTCCTTATTTAATTTAATGCAGGTATCAGTCAAAAAGGAAAAACACTGCAGCAACATAAATGTCCTCATTTACAGAACACCTTAAAGCATTAACATCTATACAAAATTAAAACTTCTCCCAGTAGGTGACTGAAAAAAATTTTTTAATATAAATTGGCAGGAGTTTTAATTTCTGGAATATAAGGAAGGTTGCAGTGATACAAGCCCATTTCTTGATTGGGCCAAAAGATCTCCATATTTCACGAGCAACAAGAAAAAAATAATTTAATGATGCTGTACAGAATCAGATCAGAGAGAGATAAAACTTGTAACTTCTCTAAAAGGAGCAAATAACTTCAAAGAACCTAATCTCACAGATTGGCAGAGATTCTAATTTTCAGAACAAGTCATTAGACACCTTTAAATTAAATCAAATTTTAGGCTTTGATCTATATGTATCTAAAAGCATCATAGAATATCTTGAATTAAATCCCAGTCTTTCTTAAATTCAGAAGTTACCAGAAATCAGAGTTTAATTTTGGTAACCTTCCTTTCCTAAAGAAACTAATGCATTTTCAGACATTCCAGTCATGGGACAAAGTCGAAAAAAATTTTTAATGGATAGAATTTCAGAATTAGCAAGTTTTCTCTACATTGGATTAGTTAACTTATCAAGTTCAAAACAATCAGTTCCATACAATCTACCAAGTCCTGTCTTAATAAAGGCAGCAATAGTGAAACAAAGTCCTGGAAATATGCATAAGATATGATTTGTTTATACAGTTTTAAATAAAATTATAATATTTTCATCAAGAGCTACTCTGAAATACTTCTAAATCATTCAGATTTAATAATTCACATGATTACAAAATCAAAGAACCTTCTACCAATAAACTCAAAATATGTGTAGGTATGTACATGTACATACACACACATTATCAGCCTGCAAAATACATTATTCTACTTTTTAAGCCACCTTTTTCTACAGGTTGCTTATTTTGCTCATTTTTAAAAGAAACTGTTTCCTCTCAGAGCAAATTATACCATTCTTTTTCTTGAAATAAACCTAATTTTGGTTTTTATGACTGTGCTACAAATGTTTCTTAGTAAAAACAAAGTTTTTACTAAGGGTCTGAAAAGTAATGAGAAATACATTTGAAAGGGGAAATTACATTTTCATTTAAGAATAGAAAATTATGCAGTGCCTTGTAAAATCTACCGTAGGTAATGTGAAACAGAGGTATCTCACACACACAAAACATGCTTGCATGCACGACAGAGTAGTAAGTCATGGGGACAAAGCAAGGAGAATGATATATTGACATCATATCCAGAAAACATAAAGGCTAAACAAAATAATTCCACTCTCAATCTCACTGAATTTTGTATCTTAATTCACCCTTGACCCTTTGAGGCAAAATATATTTATAGACAATGTTCCCTGAGGTTCCTTCCCCTCCTCACAAAGAGCTAATGATAAATGCCATTAAGTAGAATTTGTTTTTGAATCTAAATGAACTTCAATAATCTTACTAACTGGTAGAGAATCATAAACTAAAGAAGATAATGACATTGCATATAGGCCAAGGCAATTTAGAGGAAATTCAAACTAAGCCTGTCAGGTTTACCAATCCCAATCCTATCCAACAGCACCCACCATCCCATCATAAGAAAAAATGAAACCCCCTCATCTTCTCACCTTGGGGTCGATTTTTTTGAAGTTAGGATCCTCTTCATCCACCTCAAAATAGAGTTCGGAGGAGGTGACAGAAAGAGTGCCCTTTACTACAACCGAGGGGGCCACAAGCTGAGCTGGTGTGCTCAGGCTAACAGGACCTGCCAAAAGGAAAAGACAAGTCACACAAGTTGGAATGACATTTTTCAAAAAATCAAATTTGACCAGAAATTGTATTTAATCTTTTCATTCTCACTTCTAGTACTGAACTGCCTGCCAACTACTTCTACAGTTAAATATTCTGTCTACCCCAAATCTTCCTCTGAAAATGCAAAGTCAGGATTCTCATACTAGAAGATCTATAACAGGAGGTTAATGATAACAGTAAACTAGGATGCAATTATTTTACAGGGAGTCTGCAAAGCTTTGGTCTAATCTCTAGGTAAGAAGTGGCTCTGCCTAAATAAGTCCATCCACATTCCATTTAGAAAACAGGCCTCAGGCTATCTAACAACATGAACAACAACCAGGAGCAAAGAAGCCTCAATAGGCTTCCAAGGCCAGGAGTTAGCTTACAGTATGGTAGAGGCACAACTACAAAAGGATCACTAGCTTATTAATGAAGTGGGAAATGTTAAACCATATTTTCTGACAGATTTTATGCCAGCTTGACACAAAACCTCTTCCATAACAACTTTACTTCATCAATGACTGGTAAAAATACTTCTTTCCTAAGCCTTCCTTTCCACTGTTAAGTATTGTTCAATGCTTCCAAATCTAATATTAGTGTAGTTCAGGGACTCTGGGAGTAAACAGCTGGAGGGTGGGTTTCCAAGTGAATGAATTTTTATTGGAATAATCAAATCTCCACAGGGCTTATCAAAGAGACAAATCAGACTGCTACTGAAAACAATAGATTCACTACAGATATAACAGCATAATGTATATTAGAGCTAAATATAAAATATGAACTAAAAATGATATATATATACACACACACACACACATATAGAGAGAGAGATCAATGTAGAAAGAATTTAAAATTCCACTGTCAATTCCTCATGGTATAAATCCTATAGGGGAAGAAAACAGCATAAGAGAAGATTGGCACTTATAGTTCTGAATTAACATAGTGCCTATAAACAAGGTGCGCCTATTCAGGTAATCAATGGGTGAATAAGTGTTTCAAAATTCAGATGAATTGACATTTCCATCGATTGTTAGACGGGTGATAGTGCTTAATCTCACATCAATCTTAATGTGTGCCAGTAGGACAATAGAAGGGATGCTCTGCGGAGATCAGAGCAGGTTTTGCCCTCTATTCCCAGTGTACAAATACATTGTGTTTGCAGATGGGCAGCAGATAGCTGCAGAACAGCCATGATTTCCCAAAGCTCATCCTTATAAATGGATGAAATAAGAAGCTATGTGTTCTTTTGCTGTCTCCTTTTGCCCTCTGTACATTAGCATGTAATACTGAGAAGAAATAACATTTTTTCAATCACTCTCAGACATTCAATTATAGGGTAAGCAGACAGCTGCAGGAGCTAGGGCAGCCTAGGTCCTACAGAAGACCCCTGACAATTTCCACTTCATTTCTAACCCACACCACTTTATTAGTGTGGATTACTTCTTAATCCTATTGCCATTGTCAAGATTATATAATTAAACTCCCCTTTCACCTCTATTACTGTATGAATAT